TAAAAATCCTACACATTTTTCCAATGCAACTGTAAATAGTACTACTTTTAAATTTTAAGACCTAATTATTATTACTAGTATACCGAAGCGCAATTGATTTTGGTACACGGCTCTTATATCCTGCCCTTGATAAACTTATCTGCTAGTTCTAGGACACTTGCTGGTAGAGTTCATGGGATTTCTACATTGATGGTCACTTGTGAATAGAGTTTTACTTCTTCATTTCCAATTGTATGCATCTAATTTCATTTTGTTGCTTAAGGCCTACCCAGAACTTTGGTTACAATACTGAGGAGTTATGAAGATGGACCTTGGTCTCAATCTTGTGGGACAAATTCAGCCTTTCACTATAAAGTCTTATGGTAGGTGCAGAATTTATATAGATTTCCCTTATAGGTCAGAGGACTTCACTCCTGTTCCTAATTCACTGAAAGTTTTTTTGTTATGGACAGATACTACTGGATTTTGTCAAATATTCCGTGTCTACTGAGATGATCTTGTGGCTTTTTCTGTAGTCTATGAATATGGTGAATTGAGTTGAACTAACCTCTCTTTCCCAGGCCCTAGATTTGATCCCCACTATCACAAAAGCAAACACTACAAAGTGGCAGGCAGAGATAAAACATTCAGAGTAATGCAGTGTAGGGAAGTGATTTGCTTTTGCAGCAACAAAGGTGTCTGTGCAAAGGAAATTCCTCTGAAACCAGAAAGGGCCTGGTACAGACCCTGTCCCCAACACCTTGATTGGGTCCCTGAGAAGCCATGTCAGACTTCTAACCTACGAAACTGCAAGAAAATGAATGTGGGCATTTAAGGCACTAAGTTCTTGGAGATTTGTTACACAGCAGTAGAAAACAGATACAGTAAATTCCGCACTTTTTGAGGAACTGGCCCATCATTTCCTCTACCTTGTCAAGTGGACTTTACAGTGTATTTATTTAGAGTTGTTGGCAGTTTACCCACTTCATATGGTTTAATGCTTGTGGAGTCTACAGTGACAGCCCTTTCATCCTTCATCCTGGTGATTTGTGACTTCTTTTTCAAAGAACCATTCTTTTTTGAGACAGGCACCCTGTAGCCCCGGCTGGCCTGGAACTCACTATGTAGACCAGGCTGGCCTTGAACTATTAGAGATCCACCTGCCTCTGCTTCCAAAGTGCTGGGATTAAAGGTGTGCACCACCACGACTGATGCATAGACTTTGTGAAGTGTTTTTTTTTTTTTTTCCATTTTATGTGTATGAGTGTTAGGCTTACATGTAAGTGCACCCAAGTCATTAAGTGCCTGAGGAAGACAGAAGTGGGCGTCGGATCCCCGGGAACTGGAGTTACAGACAGTTGCTAGCTGCCATGTGGGTGCTGGGATTCAAACCCAGGTCTTCTGAAAGAATAGCCAGTGTTCTTAACTGCTGAGCCATCTCTCCAGCCCGCCCCACTTGTAGATTTATACCATTTAATTTGTGAGGCCATTTCAGCCTCAACTGCTGTGCTTCTGACTCCTGTGGGTCCCGCATGGGTTGGATGTCGTGGATGTCTTCCCAAAGCTGCACACTCTTCACTCAGCTGCCTGCTCACCATCCAAACTAAAAGGCTAGCAATACCTCAATATAAACCTCAACCCATGCCCACCCAAGCCCCAGTTTTGTCCCCTCCCTTTCCAGTCCCCATCATTCTAAGCTGCCCCTCCGCACACTTCACTCCAGCCCAGTGCAGCTTCACACCACACCTCTGTTCATGGCGCCTCCAGTGAGGAGCCCCCCACCCCCCTGCACATTTGTGTCTGAGCAATTGTCCCCACCTCTTGCCTCCAGACCCATTTGTGCCTGGCTCTGTCCTCCACAGCTGTTCCCTCAGCACTCAGCAAGAGGGACTCTGTGGCAACAGGCCTCATCTCAGCTCCTCAGCTTACAGTCTCCCCTGTCCCCTCTTTTCCTTCCCACAGAAGCCACTTTCCATACCTTGCACTGCTCCTCCCTGTGACCTTTTGCCAGCTCAGGCCTCCGTCCACAGAGTGCATGACCAGGTTCCCCTGCAGCTTCATGTTGGGGACCCCTGCTGTTTTGGGTTGTAGTCTTTCCATGTCCCGATAGCCGCATGCCAGCTCGGCGAGAATGGAAGGACTCCCTTTCTCAGCCGGGCGCCTTCCTGCTCTCTTCCTGACTCACCTTTTGAAGTGCCCATCACAGATACATGTCCTCCGGCATGAAACTGCCAGGTTTTCCTGTGTGATAATCAGGCAATGGCTGGCAGCCTGGTGGAAGCCCACCACCACATGTAAATGGGGTATCCTACAAAGCACCTATCAACTAAGGCTTTTGCTACTGCCCCCACACTATAAATATCCTGGTTTCCCCTAATTAATCGGAGCTGAATCACTAAGACCTGGAGCTGAGCTGAGTCACTGAATAAAGGAGCTGTACTGTATCCTATGTCTTACTGCCTACGATTCAGTCTCTCTGGAGGGGGCTGTCCCTTCGTAAACAACGACTCCTGGAGATCCTGCTTTCGCTGTTCCCGCACCTCCCCTCGCGGATCGCGAAACATAGAGGGAGTGCCCGGTAGCTTGGAACAGAACTCGCCTGGAAGCGCTGGGACCCATAGAGTCGCCAGCATCCAGTAGTCGCGGAGAGCCTCAGCAACGCAGAGAGACAGGAACCTGCACAGCAGGGACCCAAACAGCAACGCGGTGCACCCCAGCAGCGCACGAGAGACCGGCACCACGCCCAGCAGCTGGCGCTCCGAGATCCCAGCGGGACCCATAGCTTCAGAGGCCTTCCTTCATGGCCTTTGTCCGTGATGGAACTTTGCTGTCCTTTCAGGGCTGCTTAACCACTGCGCTTACCTGTCCCCACCATCTTAGCATAGGTCTAGACCGCAGCACTATGCTGTCACATGTGAAGGAATGAATGAAGGACAGAAGGAGCAAAGGAGCCAATTGTGGGATCTTCAAATAGGCCCCTTTCCCCTTGGGCCCTCCTGTGTCTTCTTGGAACTCAAACCCTCTCCACCTTACCTGGCCTGTTCAAGTCTCAGCTTGCCTATGACCAGCTAAATCAAACTTCTGGTAGTGGCACTCCTTTCATGGAGACCCTTCAATATCCCAGACAAACCCCTGGGGGTTACAGAGGCCTCAAGGGCTCTGGGGCTCTCCAGCACAGCTTTGTATCGCTACCACCTAGGGGTCCTGGCTGGGCCTCCTTTGCAGCTTCCCTCATTCTGGCTAGCCTCGTTCCTTTCTTAAACCCACCACAGAGTCTACTGACACCATCTCCAAAGTGCCTCTTGACCTTGGGTATGATCAGGCCCCAGCATAGCCTTTCGGAAACACGCCCTGCTCCACATGAACAAAGCAGCTCTCCTGGGCTCCTTCCTTGTGATCACATGCAAGCTTTCCACAGCATGATGGGTGCAGCATGTCAGCTCAGGCGGTACATTTGGCCTCTCTGAACCACTGTTCCTTCTTCTGAAAAATGCACTACTAAAGTTGCGAGCTTTTAAGCCAAAAGGCAGTGGTACCCATGGTTGGCAGACTGGAACTCTGATCACCATAGCACTCAAGCCCGAGGCTTCCCATGCTGGGAAACAGCCTCTCTGAAGTATCAGCCTGGGGCCCCTGTTTCCTGCTTGCCCTCCTTGGTAGGGCTCTGATGACCAGTTTCTCACTGCTGCTTCCTAGGTCTTGTGGCATGAGGTGGGCAGGGAGGACTCAGAGGAAGACCCAGGAAAGGGGCTGCAAGGAGCAAAGCCACCCATTTATTCCTTGTTTCTCTGGGTCTGTTTTACCTCAATTCAGTGAAACTGAGATTCCTGCAAGGCAGGCTGTTCCAGACTGACCTTCCCAACTTGCCTTGCTGAGGATGGGAGGGCTGCCTGAGCCAGCAGGAGCCAGCCTATGGTGCACTGGGAAAGGCTGAAAAACAAACTCACCAGAATCCAAATCAGTAAAGCCCAGCACTGGGGTTGCCATGGTAACTTGCAGCAGGCTCCCAGCCTGGCATTTGGCCTCTTTGGAGTTGGGGCACAGACTTGCCAGGCTGGGTTGCCCCTCTCTTGGGCTTATTCAGCTCCTGCCTGGACACAGGAAGGGGCAAGGGCCTAGAGGGGGTACCTCTTATTGAGCTTGTTGATGCTTGTTGAGCATCCACTGTTAGCTAAAGCAAAATCACTTCTCTCCCAGATCAAAGCCCGTACACAAAGGCCCCCCTGTCTTTCCACCATGCAGTTTCCAGCACCAATGGCTCCAGCAGTACCTGACCCACCTGCTGCTGCCTGGCTGATATATCTGCCCTAAGTAGAGATGCCCTCGGGCCTCAACAATGCCGAGAGCCTTGGATTCAGGTAAAGGGGCAGTGAGATGATCCCCTAAGGCCATCCTGATGGCTGAGGTAGGGAAGGGATAAACTTGGGTGGCCGGTGCCGGTGCCGAGCTTTATGAACTCTTATTACTAACAGTACTCACAGCCTCCCCCTGCCCCCTTCTGAACTGCATAACTCCCTCAATGCAGTCCTCACGCTGACCCTCACTGCTCAGCTTGAAACCCACTGCCTACCCCTAGCCTTTCCGATCCCACGGCCACTGCCTGGCACACACAAGCGTGGGCGTACCCTTTGCTGCTTTGCCCTCCTCCAGCCCTGTCTTTTCTACTAAATTAACTTCATCTCAATGTCCCACCATGTCTCCTCCCCACAACCCCCCCCCCCCCCCCCCCCCGCTGGATCACAAAACATGTGCCACTACACACGGCCAACAGTACTCCCTTTTATCAGAGAGGTTAAATGGCTTTCCAGGTGAAACAGGTACTGCCTGGTAAACAGCCAGAGGTCACTAACTCCTGAGAATGGGCTTTTCTTGATTACTTTCTTGTTACTAGATTCCTGGGCTAGACAGTATACTACTAGAGGACCATCACCTGTGGCTCAGTGAACTACCCTTAGGCCTTCTAAGCATGGTCCCCAATCACAGGACTGAGCCCAATCTGCACAGACATAGGAGACGGACCACAGCCTTCATGTCTCCATTTAATGGCTAAGCCAGCTCTGCCTTGATGAAACTCATGCCCCAGTAGGGAAGTCCTCCCTCCTGACTGGCATCCCCTGAAGAGCCCACCCAAGCTCTCACTAGCAACATCCCAGTCCAGGCTTGCTGGCAGTGTGGCAGCTTCATCTTAGCTCCTTTAGCAAGTTGTTGATGGAGGCCAGCAGTTCCCGGAAGTAGCCTTCGTCCTCGCCTTCTTGGAGTTCCAGGGATGCCAGTGCTTGATACTCTGATTGCAAGCTGCCCAGTGTCCTGCTGAGCTGGGGGTCTTGACGGTAGTGGTCCCAGCAGGTGGTCAGGAGCACACCCAGTGTTTGCAATACCTTCTCACGGGCATCATGCTCAGGCAGTGCCAGGAGGTGGGCGGTGATCTCACACCAGCCCTGTTCCCGCAGTTCTGGTAGAAGGTGTACCTGGCGGTATTGCTGCAGCTTCTCTGAGGATGAATCCTGGGTCAACTCTGCCTCTTCCTCTGCAAACATCTGCACACCCAGGCATGGAGTAGGGTGGAAGGGAGAGAATACATATAGCAGTCAGCTTGCACCAGGCCAGCTCTTCCCATGGTGGGTAAAGACATGAGGTTAAGCCAAGAGGCCTACCTACTTTCTTCATGGCTTTTGGCTACCAGAAACCTATTGGGAGGCAACCAACTGGATTCTTGGCTTTCCACATGCTTGCTCATCCACCTGTATTCCATCTGTCTGCCCATTCACTCATTCATCAAGACTCGTGCACACAATGCCAGATGCTGAAGAAACCAAGATGGAGACCCAGTCCCTGTTCCCAGGATCTAGCAAGGGAACAGTATTTCCTAATATGGCTGGAGAGATGGCTTAGCAGATAAAAGTGCAAGCCTGGAAACCTGAATTCAATCCCCAGAATCCATGTAAAGGTGAATGGAGAAAATTGATTAAATTTGTACTCTAATTTACACCAGGGGATGGGAGGGGGGAGGTAGGGAGGGAAAAAAAATCCTGTTCCACCAATGACTAGCTGAACCTAGGTCTAAGTGTCTCTCAAGGGGCACTTCAGTTGTTCTGTTCAGAGAGGCCTGAAAGCTAGGCTGGGGTCCAGAGTACAGAATCCTAGATGTGCCTCCAAGAGGATGGCCTTTGTGCTGAGCAACAAGAGAACTGGGGAAACTTGGGAGAGGGAGTCACATGCTTGGCCTGTGTCATAGTAGAAATTCAGCTCTATCAGCAGAGTGATGAGAACCAGTGCCACTATGCCACCAGCCAAGTTCCAGGTTATTTCAGATGTTGGGAAGCTCTGGAGGCTTCCCATATAAGGTGCAATAGATGTGTCTCCAAGAAGAAAGCAGGAAGTATACCCTGAATCCAAGGAGATCAAGAATAGGAAGGCCAGACAAGGCAAGGAGGAGGCCCAGAAAAGATCAGGGACAGAAGTAGTAGCAAAAGCCATGGGCTTGAAGGCCAGCTTCTGCAGTTAGGGACAAGAAAGGCTGAGCCAAAGTCCTTTTCTAATCTTCCCCCCAAGTCCTGCTGGCCACACCTTCCAACACAACCCAGTCTTCCCCACTGTCTCTGTGCGTTTTGGCTTTGCTGGGCATCTGCAGCAATCCCACCTCCTGCTCCTACTTCTCCAACCCTCTGTGGCAGCCAGTATGCCAGGTCTAACCCCTTTCACAATTTGGCATTTCTAATGATAAAGAAAATGCTCTCCATTGGACCTCCAGGCCCTGTCCCCGCTTGGGTTTGGCTTGGTCCCCCTCACATCCTCCTTTCACCTCCACACTAGCTCCCTACAGGACCTCTGTGTTACAGCTCCCACTTCCAGGCCCATTCTAACATGATCATAGCTCCAGTGCATCGCCACACTCACACTTCTCTACCCACCTCCCTTGGCTGTTGGCCTCCACATTCTAGTAATATTCTGATAAATGTGCTTCAGAAAGTACTTGGGAGGACAAGGATGAAAGACTATTTCCCAACACCTGGCCCAGCACTGGGCTAGTGGAAACCCTTACGGAAGGAAACAGATGTGAGGTCAGCTCCATGCACACACTAGGGAGCATGGGCTCACCATCTCAGGCAGGCACCCACCTATGCGGGAGCCCAGACATCGGGGTGCTGGTAGAGGTCCACCATGGCTGAGGCAAGGAACAGGAAAAGCTTGGGTTGGCTGTGTCCCCATAGCAAGGCCTTGAGGTACCTGGCACCCCTGCAGGCATGCTGCTGCTCAGTCATCCTCAGGCCACTCTGTACCCACCACCCAGTCTGGCTGTAGTTCTTTCTTCTTTAGGGACCATTGTTTCCCTGGACAATGGCTAAGTCCATATCATTCACAGAGGGAAAAGAAGAAAGAGATCTGTTCCTCCTGGGCCATGCCAATGGGTATTCTGGGTATTTGCCTCTGGGCTTAGTGGCCAACTCTCATGCTGTCAGATGTATGTAGGCCTTATCATTTGGCTCAAAACAGTACAATACTACTTGCTGTACCAAGTAACTAGATTTCCTGCAGCTTGGATGGACAGAGAAAACAGACTGAGGGATGAGAGAGAGAGAAAGGAAAAGAGAGATAGTGTTTGACAGAGAAAGGCAGAAACCTACTGCCCAACCTACTGCTTAGAGAAAAGATGGGATGGGGTGCAGAGCAGGGTATAGGCTAGTGGGAATTGGTAGGCCTCCAGCCTCCAGTGGTGTGTAGCAGGTCCAGGACTAGCTGACCCTGCTCCACCTGTCATTAATCATCTGCTCTGGGGAATGTGTGGTCATAGACAAAGGAAAAAGTTCTCTGCAGAGGCTAAATTAGGAATCCAGGCCTAGCTATTTCTTTCTCAAGACACTTCTCAGGCTCACAAATGCCAGAGTAGACAGGGCATCAGTCTCCCCACAAGTAACAAGCTTTGGGGGTCCCTAGGCTCTCAGTCTAGGCATTCTGAGCCCCTGCCTAGACCTGAAGCTCCCAGAAGAGGTATCTCCAGGTTTCTAGAATCCTGGGAGTTAGCACATCCCAGCCTGCCTCCTTGGTCCCTGGCTGCTACATGCCTCCCAGGCTCTGCTGCTCTATCCCACTTTCTCCTTACCACCACACTTTCTGCCTTCAGTCACACTTGGCCCCAATCATTGCTAACACCTCTCCTCCTTGCTATCTCCTCAGGGTTCAGCTGAGGTGTCATGTCTCACAGGACATCCTCTTTCATATATATGTCTTCTCCATCTAAGCCATTCATCTGTCTAATTCATTCATCTGTACATCCATTCTGTTCATCTTTCCATCCATTCAGCAGGATAGAAAGATGGTCAGAAGCATTTGAGAGGGGGCTCGGGTCAAATGGCCAGAAGCAAACACAAACCAAAGTGAGGCAGAAGTCAGAGCAAGTGTGAGCACTCACCTTCTCAGTGACCAGGTCATAGAGCAATGTGACCACACGTACAGCCAGTACCTTCGTGCTCTTTTCTTGCACCAGGCTCCTGAGGACCTGCAGCCCCCCCAGCTTCAGGAACTGCTGCTGGGCATAGGGAAAATGGCGCAGCAGGGAGCACAGCGCAAACAAGACCTAGGAGGCATAGACTGGGGGTAAGTGAGAGCCACACAGATCTGTATCAGTTCTAAGACACAGAAAAGGGACCTGGGGTCATCTCAGCCAGCCTCCATTCTTCCTGAATCCTTGACAGCCTTGAGTCCATCAGTACCTCAGAACTCATGATGGTGAAAGCGAAAGGGGGTCTCAGATACCTTCAACAAAACTAAGCAGGCAAATGGTGGGCAAGGAGAAGCCCAGCACAGGAAGCTGGAGGTGAGAAAGTGTAGGTGCAAAGGCCACCCAGCTACAGCTACATCCATCCAGACCTCCAGACTCTATACTGTTATTTGCTTTAGTTGAGTGTGAGCTCTCCCCTGTGACACCCAGTGGACAATGTTCAGGCCCCTAAGAATAGCATGAGTAGATAAGGAGCCTTTCCCCTCAGGCCCTGAGGTACACTAAGTACTGGGCAGGAACAAAGGGCAGAAACTTGCCTTCTTCTTCGCAGTGAGAGGCTGCTCTGTGGCTAGGATGACCAGTAGCTTCTGAAGGGCTCCTCCTTCAATGGCCTCCACCTGGACCTTTGGGTTGCTGGGGGAAAAGCATAAGAAATCGTGGTCATTTTGCTTGGCCCAGGATTAGGGGACTAGGGAGCTAACCACACCAACCTTCCTTGGGAAAGGAGAGTAGCACAAGGGGTGGTTCCCATTCTGGACAGGTTAGAACTCAGTTGGGGAAAAAGAAATTAATGGGTATGGCCCTGCTTTATTAGAATGACTTAAAGCCCAGAAAAAAGGGCCAAGGGTCCCATACTGGCCTGCTGTTCCCCAGAAGCCAGAACACCAAGAGATCTACGAGATAAATCACTTATACCACCATAAGGCTAACCTGACACTGAAGTGGCATCCAAAGGTACTACTGCAGTGTCCCAGCTATGGAAAGCCTCCCAAGCCAGTGTTGAAAGCTCTGTCTTCCATGATCCCAGGTATGCTATTCACTGGGGGACAATCACTAATGCCTCTGTGCTTTCTAGGTATGGAGCTCCTGGAGGTCAGGGCCAGGAGCCCTTCCTGTCCTCACTCAGGACTAGACAGCAGGCAGAACACTGTGTGGGAAGAAGGCAGGTGCAAAGCACAAGAGCCGCGGATTCTCAGAATGCAAAGCAGATCTTCACAGAGGACTACCCAGCAGCTCCATGCTAAGCTCTTCCAGAGCAGCTTCTATAATCTCCTCCATCTCCAGAGTCTTTATAGAACCTGCCACATCATGGAGCCTTACATACAAGGGATGAGTAAACAGGTACAACCATGAACAGGCCAATAACAGCACAGGTAATACTCACTCAAAACCTAGCACTGCCTCTGGGTCTCTACCCATTCTAGGCTGAAAATCTGTGAGGCCATTAAAACAAATATTTCAAGCCCTGGGCCTAAAGAGATGACTCTGCAGTTAAGAGCACTTGCTGCTCTTGTAGAGGGCCCAGGTTCAGTTCCCAGCATCCAAATGGAGTCTCTCAACTGCCTGTAACTCCAGTTCCAGAGGATCCAACACCCTTTCTGGCCTATGTGGGTACCAGGCATCCATGTGCAGCACATACATATATACATACAGGCCCTTATACAAACACATTAAAAAATAAAATCTTTTTTATACAAACACATAAAAATTAAATCTCCCTGTAGCCCTAGCTGACCTAGGTCTGCTATGGAGACCAGCCTGGCCTCAAACTCACAGAGATCCGCCTGCCTCTGCCTCCCGAGTGCTGGGATTAAAGGCATGCGCTACCACACCCGGCCCAAAAATAAATAAATCTTAAACAAATATTTCAAGCCCAGCCCTCCTAGATAAAAGGAGGGTACTAGATAGGAGATATTCCAGATAAAGGCAACTCTTCACAGAACCCTTGCTTTTTTGTTTGTTTACATTTTTGTTTTGTTTTGAGATAGTGTCTTGTTATATAGCCCAGGTTGGCCTGGAATTCACTGCAATCCTCCTGCCTCAGCCTTTTGAGTGCTGGGATTACAGGCATGTGCCATGGTCCTTTGCTTTCTAAGATTATATAAACAATCAATTACAGAGCATGTGCCAAGCACAGAAGCCTCAGATGCCCACTCAGGAGGCCTCAAAGAACAGAAGGGCAGACTACAGATTAGATAGTTGTAAGTTACACCACCCAGACAACCAACAAAATATCAAAATCTCCATAATCTCTGGATGACTTATCTTTGTCACAAGTACCCTGGAGACCACAGAACATTTGCCCCCCTCCAACCCTAACCTTCTAGCCAGAAGATCTCCCAGAATGGTAGGGTACAGGGAAGCAAGGACAAACTGGAGTCAGCTCCTGTCCTAGTCCAAAGCCCAGAAAAAGGGAGAAGGCAGGAAACAGGAGAAAGGGTATACCATGCTGCTACACTCAAGTGAGGGCCCAGTACATAGCAGGTGCTCCCCAAGGTGGCTGAATGGAGTGCTAAGGGGCCAACTCATTCCCCAGAAATGGCCTGCTCCTTCTGCTCCTACCAGGAATCAGCTTCGCTTCAAGGTTGAAAGCAGATCTAGCTTTAGCACATATGACCAAAGATTTCCTTGACCCTTTGGTCCTGACATCACTTCACTTGAAAAGATGTGTAGAGGGTGTTGACTAGTCACAGCATCTCCATTCTTGTGCATATGGAGCAGCCTGGAAAGAAACTGGAGTCCCAGGAGATGGCAGGATGACAGCTCCTCTCCAAACATGGAGCCTGTGCAGAGGGCTGGGGAGGAGCCTCTCCCCTGCCTGCTTGCTCCCCTGACTTGAGACAGGCAGCTGCTTCATCAATGTGTGAGTTAATTAGGGCTGAGGAACACTCAACCACAACAGACAGAGTCTATGAAGGGAAGAGGACCATGCTGTGAAATTCATACAAATATCAAATGCTGCCTTCCAAAGAAGGGAGGCTGTGAGGTCCACAGCACATCAGCCTCAGGAAGCCCCTCTCAGGAACCCCATTCCCAGGGGCCCTCTCAAGACAGCAAGCAAATTCACCACAGCACCTACCATCATGGCCTTAATAACTCACCCCAGGCTAAGCATCCAGAAGAGCCCTTCCATTTTGTACACAAGAAGCAGAACTGAGTCTGCTTTCAGGCAGGCTGCCAGAAGCCAGGAGCGATCTACAGCTATGCCAACCACAGTCCACCCTCTCTTAGATAGGTTCCCTTCCCTCCCCAGGGAGAAAAGCCTATTTAGAGTAGAAAAGACTAGGTTTCCAATATAAGGGATGCAAATCAGAAAGAAAGCCTGAGGACCTCTCAAGAGTTGCTGAAATGACTTTCACAGGCAGTAAATTTACTTTCTCATTGTAGCATAGTTCCAAAGGGTCTGTGGACTGTAGGACCATAGACTACAGGTGGGCCTGTGGCTGAACACAGCCTTGGAAGCCTGAGCCTGTATGCTTCCTGGCCTCTTCATGTGTTCAGATTAAATAAGGTTTCCATACTAACTCTAGGCCCTACCTCTGGGTTCTCACCACATCAGGGGTCCATAAAACATCCTCCAGAATGGGCTGTTACTGCTGACCAGGAAAGGGGTTGTAGAAACAAGAAGTAGGAAAGACTAGGCTTAAGATTCCAGATGGCCTCAATCTATGCAGGCAGGAACAGACAACAGAAGAGGGGCTTCCCTTCTCTTCTAGCCCTAGGCAGACACCGTCCTACTTCCAGAAAACACCCTCTCTAGGCAGCTCAGCCATGGGACTTCAATATTCATGCCTGTGTGCTTTGAGGGAGGTGTTCAAACAGCTCAGAGCACTAAGGATTGCAAGGGCCAGGGCCTGAAGGACTGTCAGAGAGAATCCTGTGAACACTGGCTGATAAATTGGTAAGTCCCTTGATGGCTTCCTCACCAGAGAGACAGAGCTGGGACTACCCCATGCTAGAGACAGAATGGCTAATGAATGTCAAAATGTTGGCCAATGTGTTACAATAAGATTTTAATCACAGTGGGTTCACTATATAAGGAGGCCTAGCCAAATCCTTGAGAGCACAGCTGTATTCAGCCCAGATGCCTAGAGCACATACATGCCACTCACATCCCTCTCAGTCTATGAGCCCTGGACCAGAGTTTCTGCTTACATCTAAAGAGGGCCAGTCCTGGTGGCTGGAAGGTGGGTGACCTACACAGGGAATTTGAGTGTGTTAAAAGGGCAAGAGCCTGCCTTGCCTCTCAGTGACATCAACATCTATGTACTCAAAATCAAAAGGATATTAAGGATGTAGCTCATCTCCAATGTGATAAATAAGAATAAACCTTGTTTAGGGCTAAGCTGGCTGAAATGAATAATTACCATTAGCACTTGGATTACTGGGATGTTCACAATTATCAGGCAAGTCTGCTGTTTGTGTGCAGAGGGAAGATAGTAACTGCTACTCTGAAAATCTTGATGGGGACAGAGGGAAGGAGGCTGGATCACAGAATTGGAAGTGATTGCATTTGAAGTTATGAAATAGTTCAGGTCAGGGTGACAGCAATAGTCAATCTGCCAAGAGCCATAGGTCTGTCTTAGCTGCTGAGCAAGTCTCTGGGTATAAGTGGAATGAAAGAGCTGACCTGGGGAGCAGCCAGGCCGAGTCAGAGGCCACTCAGGACTGGTTACATAATTTTCAGGTTCAAATATGACATCAAATTTTAGGCTCCTTCAAAGATTCTTAGGAATTTCAAGACAGTAAGAGTAGAACATTAAGTCATATGTAGGCACTTCTGAGTGTGGAGCCCTGTGCCTCTGCATGGCTACTTAGGAGATGATCTGAATAAGGACTGAAAGGTGAGTGTGAATTGGTAGAAAAGGAGAAAAAGTGGAAGGGGCAAAAGTCTGGGTTGAGAAATATGGGGAGGCTAGTAAGCTAGATGGGGCCAGGAGATGCTCAGGTGAAACCCTGATGCAGAGCTTGCATCTGCTAGACTCCCAGATGGAGCTTGGACTCTGGGCATGTCCACAGGACACTAGACACATATGAGAGGATATACTTTCTTATGGGGCCTCACAGTACTTTGAAGTGGGGCAAACATTCCTTTTCTTCACTGTGTTCTGGAAAGTCCTGAGAAGATGCTATACAGAAGGGCACAGGTACATCTCTAGGGTGGTTGTGGCCAGGCTGGGCTCTGCATGGTTCTGCCTGATAAAACTATGTAAGCTCATTTTCTTGTCCAGACAGTAAGATTCTTTCTCTGGTGTCCTCACCTAGCCTACACCCAACATGTGGCTTAAGCATCTGTGAACCACAGATTTGCAACACATGCAATCCTGTAAGTAGGGTGAGCAGAAGGGATCCATACTGCCTGGCCAATTAGGGACAAGTAGGTATATAATCAATCACTCAAGATAAAATTACCAGCTTGAATTAAAAAAATGGAATAGCTCTATTCCCAAAGAAACACTACATCTAGCTCTTCCACATGAAAGTGAAGCCCCCAAAGAGAAACAAAACATCTGGCCTTTAATACAAGCCTCATAGCACCCGACTGTGGTGGGAAGCTAACAGACACCTGTAAAGTTACATGTAGATCTAGGGTGAGACCAATACTCTGTCCCTTCATAGAAAGTCTCCAACCA